TGTGCAGTAAAGAGCAGACGTCAGGGCAGGTGGAAGAGGGAAGCTGCACCCCCACGCCCCTGCTTGGCAGGAGAAACGATTTCATTCATTTAAGGCAAAATAAGCTGGTTTAGCTCAATACATGTCGATGCCATGTGCTGAAGCTGCCTCTGAGAGTCACTGGGCAGTCTGGGGGAATGGTCCAGGTCAGTGTGTGGATGAGAGCCTGGGGAGCGGTCTGTCTGCAGGAGGGTGGACAGCTGCGGTGGGGTGTCTGGCCCCGGCAGATGTCTGCCTGTGTCATGGGAGGAAAACACAGTCGAGTCAGCCTGAAACTCTCGTTTCTGTTGCTTCTGCAGGCTCACAGCAGCATCATTTGAAGCAATGAGGCTTGTAAGGGTTGTGGGACCTGATGTTACTGTGAAACAGCTGAATTGTCGGGGTGGTATTTCTGCCCCTCAAATCAGCAACCTCATACTAAGTCGTACAACTTCTTTGGCCCATGTTATTCTTTGGTGGGAAAGGCAGTTTAATGAATCCAGTAATTATGTTGATTTTTGGAAAAACCCTTCTCCTAATTAAAATTTCCATTAGTGTAATCTTCCCACTGGAATCCAAAGTTAGAGCATCATCTGCAGTTATATTCTTTTAAGAGGAATACATTTTGTTTTTTTCTTTTCTGTTGAGGAAATGATGTGTTTATGTCTGAATTCAAAGCTGAGGCTTGCCGTTCGAACTGACACTGGCAGCACCCTAGCTGTCCTTTGTATATAATGCTTTCTGCAAGTTGTTAAGCCAAAAGTTTTCTTGTGTAGGTATTTCTCCGAGAGTCCTTGGAACACAAGTTGGAAAAACAGCGAGAGGTGGAGGTCACCAAGGCAGCAATGATCATCCGAGCGCACATCTTAGGTTATGCAGCCCGGTAAGTGACAGATCATAGAATCATAGAATCGTTAGGGCTGGAAGGGACCTTCAAAGGCCATCTAGTCCAACCCCCCTGCAAGGAACAGGGATATCTCCAACTAGATCAGGTTGCTCAGGGCCTCATCCAACCGGGCCTTGAATGTCTCCAGGGAGGGAGCATCCACCACCTCTCTGGGCAACCTGTTCCAGTGTTCTACAACTCTCATGGTAAAAAATTTTTTCCTAATATCCAACCTGAATCTACCTCCCTCTATTTTAAAACCATTACCCCTTGTCCTATCACAACTGGCCCTCCTGAACAGCCTCTCCCCATCTTTCTTGTAGGCCCCCTTGAGGTACTGGAAGACCGCTATAAGGTCACCCCGGAGCCTCCTCTTCTCCAGGCTGAACAGCCCCAACTCTTTCAGCCTGTCCTCATAGGAAAGGTGCTCCAGCCCTCTTATCATCTTCGTGGCCCTCCTCTGGACCCTCTCCAACTGGTCCATGTCCTTCTTATGTTGGGGACTCCAGAACTGGGATCCAGATGAGAATATTAATAATCAAGCTTTGGAATAAATGGGTAGAATGTCATGGAGTTAAATCCTTCTGGCACAATTCTTAACTTTTCCTAGGGACCAGGCATCCAAGTCCTGCAAGTGGCTTTTGAAAATACCAGCTGGTATCTTTGCCAGACCCATAAATAAAACAAAATGGAGTTTGAATTGTTTTAATATAATGAATAGGACCGTGTGGAAGTTTTGAGGTCAGCCAGTATCCATGTGATTGTATCATGGCATTAGATCCATGGTGGAAACTCTAGCTGGATGGCACCTTGTGGGGCTGCCTTAAGTTACCAGTTGAGATTCAGATTTATCTTTGCTTTGTCATGATAAGAAAAGAGAAGGAGAACAAAACTAATCAGTTTGGTTCTTAAAAGAACCATGACATTAGGTAGCTGATTCATGTTTCACTTGTTTATCTGGCTTCGTGCTGTATATATTAGGTAGAGTCGCTCATCCCATCTCTTTGTTTCTCTGCTTTTTCTACAAATCAGCTGAGGACAGTTTAAGGAAACTTGTTTGCGTAATGAGGTAATTTCTCTTTATATTAGTCCTGTCCTTATAGTCTGACCAGTATGTTACTTAAAAGCTATATTTCTTTTTTAATGACAGAGCTATCCTGCTGTTCATGATCTTGCTTTTCAGAGATGTGGGATGACTATCTATGTATATTCTTTCTCTACATGTGTGTGCACGCACACAGAGCTGTCATGTTAGCATCTCTTTGTCAGGGGAATAAGAACATGTAATGTTCATTTCCTTAGTGAAAACACAGACAGTGCTGTCATCAAAATGAGAGAATCTCTTTCCTCTCAAAGGGAGGAGAATGTCAACAAAAATGGGGAAACCGTCACAGAGCTAGAAATAATAAATTGTTTCACTACCATGGGCTCATTATTGCAGATCACCATGGCAAGACCTCTTGTGACTGCTCGTTAGTTCCTTGTTTCCTTAGAACTTTGTTGTTTTATTTTTTCTCCCAGAAAGCGGTATAGAAAGGTTCTCTACTATGTGGTTGTAATACAGAAGAACTACAGAGCATTCAGTGGTAGGAAAAAGTTCCTGTGCCTGAAGAAAGCAGCCATAATCCTTCAGAAGCAGCGGCGTGGCCAGCTTGCTCGACGTGTTTACAGGGAGCGACTAGCGGAGAAGCGGAGACAAGAGGAAGAAAGAAGAAAAGAGGAAGAAGAAAGGTGCAGTATGCTGTCTTACATCACTCTCCTGTCTGTGCCATATTAGGTTTTGGTCTGAATAGCCTTTATTTCAGGCTGTTCTTGATGACGTCGTTTTGGAAACCTTTGCTTCTTTTGCTAAAAGATGCATGTAGCTGTCATGGCAGTTTCATGTTCACAAACTTATCCTTGGTGACCTTATTTTTGGCTGTCTTTTCCATGTGGCAGATGATGTCTGTAAGTCGAGCTGTTGCCCTAGCAAAGGTATGTGATGAGCTTATGTTGAGCTTGATTTACTGACTTCTCTTCTTCCCTCACTTTTAGGGAAAG